GGTCTCCGCGGGGGGCGGGGCTCTGCGATAAAGGAGACGCTCTCAGCCGCCTGAGGCCCCCGCTCGGTGCCGCCCCTGGGCTCCGGCACGCGCTCTCCCTGCCCCCGGGACGCCCCCATTGTGAAGTCATCCCCTGCTGGTGGCGCGGCCCGGCGGATCCAGGCTCCTCCTGCAGGGATGTAGCGAGCCCGGGCTCCGGGGGGGATCGGGGCCTGCTCCAGGGGATTGTCTTCCTCCAAGGCTGCTGGCTAGGGTAGGCGCCGTCCTTCATGCTGCGGTGGGGGCTGGAGACCTCAGGGCCAACTCCGCATCTCTATCGTATGCAGGGGCCGCGGTACTGGGGATGGTTGTGGTCGCTGCTTGAGGACAGGCAGGGGGTGGTGGAAGGAGGAGGGGGCCTCAAATGGGCTGAAAAAAGCGATGAAAGGCGAAGAGGGGAACGTGAGAGAGATTAGTGAAGGGCCGAGGGGTGTGGATGAAGGGCCCTGGATGAGGTGCAGAAGGGTTTAGGGGTAGTTTAATGTGGGAGAAGGGTGCCAGGTGGTGTAGACAGACAAAGGATGCTGGATGGGGGAGAAGGCTGGTTAGATTTGCTGAGGGTACATAGATATGGGCACAAAGTGTTGACAACATTAGTTGCCTCAGCAGTGTTATAATCCCTATTTTGAGTAATGCAAGTGATTGAGAGGGGAGTATTTACCAGTTGGGGGGGAATCTTGCACTAAATTAAGAATTGGAGGTTGCCTCCTTAATTTTCTTCATTATTGAAATAACCCATTTTTCTGCATTGATTGTAAACATTATAGCTCTGAGAGTGAATAAAAACTTCTAGCTGTGTAAGTTCAAGTGTATATCATTTAATAGGAGCTTGCAGACATCATTAGAGAGAGATGTACAAAAGAACAGTGACATACTGTATGGTTTGAAGTTAAGTGCGTCACTCTTTTTAACTTTCTCGTACATTCTCTGTACCTTTAAGTCAAGTTAATTTATTAAATATTTTAGTGTCATGAGGCTTTATAAAAGTTGTTGGAATTATGAAATATTTGTTTAAAAATTTATCAGTCATTCTTGCCTCCTTTACAGCTCATTTGAAACTGGAGGAAATAAGATAATGGATATGGGTAACCAACACCCTTCCATCAAAAGGCTTCAAGAAATACAGAAAGAAGTCAGAGATATTGAACAGCAGGTGGTGATTTTCAGTGGCCTGTCTTCTGACAGGGATTACAAGAAACTGGAGAGGACTCTGACTAAACAACTTTTTGAAATAGATTCTGTAGATACTGAAGGAAAAGGGGATATTCAGCAAGCCAGAAAACGAGCAGCCCAGGAAACAGAAAGACTACTCAAAGAATTGGAGCAGAATGCAAACCATCCACACAGACTGGAAATAGAGGCCATATATAAGGAAGCTCAGTCATTGGTGGAACGTGAAATCACACCTTTTTATAAAGGTGGCAACTGTATAACTGATGAATTTGAAGAGGGTATTCAGGATATTGTATTGAGACTTACTCAAGTGAAAACTGGAGGAAAAATCTCGCTACGGAAAGCAAGATACCGCACTCTGACAAAAGTGTGTGCAATTCAAGAGATTATAGAAAACTGTATAAAACAGCAACCTTCCTTGCCACTCTCCAGTGATGCACATCCTTCAGTCTCAAAAATTAACTCTATTATGTGTGATGTAAACAAAGCGAGGGGTACTCTTATTGCAGTCTTAATGGGAGTAAATAATAATGAGACTTGCAGGCATTTATCCTGTGTGCTTACTGGTCTGGTTGCTGATTTGGATGCGTTGGATGTTTGTGGCCACACAGAAATAAGAAATTACAGAAAGGAAGTGGTGGAAGAGATTAATAAATTACAGAAATACCTGGATTTGGAAGAGGAAGCAGACTCTGCTCATGCTTATGACTTGGCACAAAATCAATCCATTCTAAAAATAGAAGAGATCCGCAAAAAAATGAAAGAAGTTCATTCTTTAATTTTCAGAGCAGAAAATGCTTCTGATCTGTTCTTGGGATCCAAGGCAGAACTTCAAGGTTTAATTGCCCACTTGGATGAAGTGAGTCCAGGAAAGAACCCATGCATCAGAGAAGCCAGGAGAAGAGCAGTGATAGAAGTGCAAACTCTTATAACATACATTGATTTAAAAGAAGCACTTGAAAAAAGGAAATTGTATGGTGAACAAACTGTTGTAGAACACCACTCCCATAAGGCAGTCTGGAGTGTTCTTGAACATTTGTCTCAGATTCAGAGGGAAGTGCTGTCTTTTGATGGAAACCGAACTGATAAGAACTATATGAGACTAGAAGAGCTCCTCACTAAGCAACTTCTGACACTTGATGCTGTTGATCCACAAGGAGATGAACGGTCTAAAGTTGCCAGAAAGCAGGCAGTAAAGCTTGCACAGAATATTCTTTACTATCTAGACATGAAAACAGATGAATGGGAGTACTAGGAAAATAGTGGCCTCATGTTAGGTGTTGCTTTCCTTTTTTGCACTTTATGTAGACTGATAGCTCCCATGAACAGCACATGATTAAAAGTTGTGTTTTTATATTCGCTCGAATTGTGGAGATGATGTAAATAGTTGGCTTGAATATATGGCAGCTATCCCACATTTTTGCCCACTTGCCATGACAATTGTCAGTACACCGTTTTTTCCATTTTGGTCACTATGTTATGTGAGAGAGATGGTTTTCTTGAGGAATTGCATAAGTATCAGAATCTGTAATATTTGGTCAAACTGTTTGGTTTTTCTTCAAAAAAGCATGTTTCTCAAAGATGCAGGAATTTACTTAAGATACAGTACTGGAAAAACTATGAAAAGAAGACTGGAAATTTAAGATTATTGGCCAAATGCAAGGTTAGATCCATCAGCTTTACACCAGCATTGACATATTTATAATGTATTGTTCTAATCAAAAGATTAAATATAAAAGGTTGGCTTTTCATTTGTTTTTGATTTGGTTCCATCCATTTCACCTTAATGTGTTTTTAGTTTTATAATGTAGCAGTATTGTAATATAGAATGACTTGGTTGTGTCCATTTTCTTGTGGCACTGGGCATCTAGGAAAGAATCCCTCAAATTCAGACTGTCCTCTTATTGGAAGGTAGCTATGAGACTTGAAAGACAGATATTGATTAGATAAATGAGAGATTTTTTTCTTTATACTGCCATCCATAAATCCCTGAAAACTGCATTGAACTATCTTTATTTGCCATTTAGCTATAATATAACTCAGTTTTTGGATCTGGATTTGATGAGTCTTCTAAAACAACCAGTGAGAATGAAAATCACTTTAAAATGACTTAAGTCAATGGGTATTTCTGATTTAACCATGTAAATACAGTTCATCACAAATTGTTCGTAATGTATGTTACATTTCACACTGGCCATGTAATCTCAAACATAAGACTCAGAAAAGGCTTGCTTGTTGTCTTTTCTTTCAACTCAGTAGCAGTTAGGTTAGCCCTGCAGCTTGTTAAGTAAACCAGATCATATTTCTGCATGCGCTTTCCTCTTCTTTGTGGATATAGGAATTTAGTTGCCAGTATCATAATTCTACGCTATCATATTTTGGTATTACACAGAATGCTGCTCTAAATGGAATAATGGGTCCAAAATGTGTTGTTTCCCACAGAGCTCCTTTCATGTTAGAGTTATTGCTTTGTAGAGGGTTATTTATTTGCAACGTTTTAACAAGTGTAAATTTCAGATATTACACTGACTACAATAAATATTGGATATATATTAATACACATTAGAGAAAATATTTTTGTGAGATAAGTGCCTTTTACTGACACCCTAAAATTATATTGTTACATATAGGAACTCTTTGTCTAATGGCAGCATGCTGCATTTAGTTATCTCTACCAACTGGATTTTTCTATTTACTATTCAGCTATAATACACATCAAATTAAATAAAGTGATATTTTAGGAGTCAGTTATGACTAGAGATTTGAAAGTGGGACTTTCACTCAGGAAGTTCAGATTTTGTTCCCAACCCCACACAATGATTTGCTTAGTGACTTTGGGCAAGACAGCCACACCTCAGATTGTAAGAAGGGGATAATAATGTTTACTTACCTTTTTATAAAGTGCTTTGAAATCTCTAGATGAAAAGAGCTATATACTTTCAAAGTGATTTATTTTGATTAACTGATTTTTTTTTTGTTCTGTTGACTTCTTTGCAAATCATTTATCAATGATTTCTTTAATTAACTATAGTCAATATGTCATAGCCCAATACTGATGATGCATTATTTGGATACTTCTCCTTGTTTGTTTCAATTAATGCAGGGCCTTACTAGTACCCACACTGCTTCTCTTTTTCTTTAAATCACATCTGAGTTGAACTGTAATTTCAGTCTATTTTTGCATTTCCTATTTTATTGGCTAACACAAATTACTAATGGTATTACACATCTGAATTATTTTGTTCATATTTATAAAGGTAATTTAAAACTCTGGGAAGTACTTTAATTGTAGATATAATTTCTAATATGCATTTGTAATATGTGACATGTAACAGTTGGATAATGTTTATTATATTTAACTCCTATGATAATTGTTACTGTCGGGTCTCTTCAATTGTTAGATGTACAGCCCTTGTTTTAAAAAAAAAAATCAAAATATTCATATTCCTCTGTAGGTCATGTGAAACTTTTTAGCATTTCTGATTTTTTTTTGTAAAGGTAAATAAGATACTTTATATTTCTTTCCATTTAAGATTTGCTTATCTTAGCTTTTGTGAAAGACTGAATCTCTAAAAAGGAAAATGCATCAGAGGGGTTGAATAATGATTAACTCAGTAGATTCCCATACCAACATACTGTGTTAACTTGGCTTTTAGCTTTAATCATCTTCTGCTCATGAGGTAAATGTGCAGCATTTAAAAGTTGTGGAGTTCCTAATCGGTGCAGTATTTGTAAGCAGTTTCTGCATGAACAGTAAACTACATAAGCTAAACCAAAAAAAGTTTGGTACATGGATTTTACGGAATCCTGTTTCTGTGCTGAAGAATGTAATTTTTGTGTTGTATACATGATGACAGAGAAACACACCTGCTTTCTGACAATTAACTATCCACCAAGGTGTAAAAGGACCAACTCATCCAACACCTATATTTTTATTAAGTGGAATATACAGATTTTTGTGGGTGGGGTACTATTACATGTTTTCAAAGAAATGAATGGGGGTGTATGTGTGTGATGTCTTGAGAAAGTTGTAAATCATGATACTTATTAATTTATAAGCAAGTTTGATTTGAAGTAGCTTAGTCTCGATTTTGTGGCAACCCACAACCATTTTCCCCCTTCTTTCCAATTTAGTGGAATTTGGTTTTTTTAAGTATGCTTAATGGAAAAGTTTGTAATTAATTATTGTATGTGAATCTTCTTTAAAGTGTGTATATCCACATTTATCTATATTCATTAAATTACATAGGTACAAATTCAAAGTTAAATGTTTTATTATATCCTTAATTATTAATAAAATGCTTTGTTGCCTTGTACTCACTGTTGACTTTAATGTTCTATTCTATTGCCTTTTTTCATAAATTTAAGAATGCTAATTATCAGAATATACGGTAACTGATATTTCCCTGACAGAAAGCTCAGATTTTTTCTTAAACATGTAGAGGAAAGTTTCTTATTTTTTATTTTCCTAAAAAGCATCAGTAAAGAAATTACATTTTAAAGTTCAAACTGTGGGATTCATTCATCTCCCTGTTAAATCTTCTTCAATCTGCTGTATTACCCAGACTGCACATAAAATAATAAAATAATTTTTAATTTTCATTTTATTCAGTGCCAACCTGTTCATGGAGTCTCTTATTTTGGTTCTCTTATGATTGTATAATCTAGTGTTACCTTGTACAAAACCATCACAGTGATCCTTATGTCTGAAGAGTGAAAAACTCAATAAAAACCAGTCAAGCATAAAATTGTGGTTTTTAAAAATAGTATGATATGTTTAAATAATACTGAAATAACCATTGTATATTTTAATGGTATGCATCCACCCAAAATAAAATGTTCAGTTTTAATTATTCTCTCAAAAAACCCACCCAAATCCCACCTGTAGAGAAAAGGAGGTTCGGAGATGGGCAATGAAAATTTCTATTCGTGTAGAAAGACCTCTCTGTAGGAAGAGGCACTTGATAGAGAAGAATGTTAGTTTAGTGAAGGGGACATCATAAAGGAATACAAATGAGTAGTAAGGAAGGTAAATCAGTCACTAATTAAAGAAAATGAAGTCAAAAGATCATCCAATGACTTTGAAAGCAACAAAAATTTAATCTGTAAAGCTCATTGCATAAGATACCAAGGCAACTAACAGTTTAGCATAATTTTAAGATAGTATACAGTATTCTTCACTGATCTCTAAGGGCATGTCTACACGCGGGAGTTATTCTGAAATAACTCCTCTTATTTCAAAATTATTAGATGAACATCCACATTACCAAGCCTGTTATTTCAAAATAATGGGCTTATTATTTTGAAATAACTCCTGCTTGTGAAGAAGAATAAGCTTATTTTGAAATAGTTATTATTTCAAAATAACTGATTTTGAAATAGGCTGGCTGTGTCTAGACTGGCAAGTTTTTCCGCAAAATCATCTGCTTTTGCGGAAAAACTTGCTAGCTGTCTACACTGGCTGCTTGAATTTCCGCAAAGCACTGACGATCTCATGTAAGATTGTCAGTGCTTTTGCGGAAATACTATGCTGCTCCCATTTGGGCAAAAGTCTTTTTCCGAAAAACTTTTGCGCAAAAGGGCCAGTGTAGACAGCAGAGATTTGTTTTCCGCAAAAAAGCTCTGATCGTGAAAATGGCGATCAGGGCTTTTTTGCGGAAAAGAGCGTCTAGATTGGCCACAGACGCTTTTCCGCAAAAAGTGCTTTTGTGGAAAAGCGTCCTGCCAATCTAGACGCGCTTTTCCAAAAATGCTTTTAACGGAAAACTTTTCTGTTAAAAGCATTTCCGGAAAATCATGCCAGTGTAGACATAGCCGCTATGTTTATACTACCAGGTTAAATGATGAGGATTAGAAAGAAATACTACCCATAAGAAGGTTTTTTTCCACAAAATCCATTATCCAGTGCTGAAACATCTGCTGCTAGATAGTGGCAGAGACAAGGTAATTGTCTAGAATGGGACACTGGCTAGACATAGGAATTCCTAGGTCCCTGTCTTTGTAAGCCCTTGCTACAAGATACAGGTAGGAATATCCATCTCAGTAATGGAAATGTGCAGTGCCATTCTTAAGGGGGTGGTTTCTCTTCATGCAGTCTTGACAGGCAAACTCTATGTTGAATTTGCTCGTCGTGAAACCTGTATTCCCAGAGGCTAAATGGGAAACATCTCAAGCAGGGCAGAGAGAATAACTCACTACTGTCCCCTTAATAAAGTCCTGCCTACTGAAAATGTCCTAGTTAGCTCAGTTTCATCAGGTATACTTTGCATGTAAGCTCTGAAGAACTTACAAACTAAATAGAGGATGGGACACCATGGGGACACAATATAATAAGCAAAGTGACCAGGCTGCTGTTTGCCAACCCTCTTGCTAGTTTCTTGATTTAAAAAAAAAACTAGGGGATAGTGCCTTCTTCTCACTATACTTGCCTATGCCCCTCTCTGGGGTTAGGCAGCCCTGGCTGGTCTGGGCGGAGGCGTGTCAGGCCTGGCCTGCCCTGATTCTCTCCCCATAGACACCAGAGCCAGCCCTAGCTTTCTCCCTCTGGGGGGCTGGACAGAGGCTACAGCTGGTCCTGCGCTCTCCCGTCAGCCACCGGGAGAGCTATGGCTGGCCTGGCACTCTTCCTCCAGCCCTCTGGGGAAGCCACAGCTGGTCCAGCTCTCTCTCTTTGCTCTGCCCCTTCCCCCCCCTCTGCCCCCCCAGTTTGGGCAAAAGGCCGCACAGGCCCTGCGCTCTTCTCTTTCC